TTGAATAGTTGAAAACATGAGAATAACTGAGTAAAACAAATTATACTGAATTGTAGAAAAACTAGATTTCAAAGGAATCTAGAAAGGGATCTATTTAATTTAATTAACTAGATACCATGTATTTGAGCGAGGAATGTCACGTTAACACAATCGAATCTGCGATCGCATATCATTGTCAAGTCACCTCAACATGTTCAACCCGAATTAGAAATGGAATTATTAGGATCACGATCTTCATACATAGGATTTTACCATAAACTTCAAATTTATATGATATGTCACCTTATTAATCAGAATATGATTATAACTAAGTATTGAAACGACTTAGCCGGACTTTAAGTCTTGCTGTAATTCCATGTAATAAGGATGTACATGCTATTTTCATTTCATTCTCTTGACTTTTTAGATTAACTTAGCTTATTGCAATTTATCGTTCAGCAAAATTAATTTCATACCATTTTATAATCCGACAAAAATGTCATATTTTACAGCTTTGGATAAACAAGATAAATGAGAATGGGTTCTCAAAGCCTTCAAAGGTAAGTGGTCAATCTTAATTTCCAGGCACATGTTACAGCTGCTGCTATAGACCGTGATTCGATTGTTAAGTAGGGCCAAAGATGGCAACCACCGAAACTAGTTGAAATAAGATAACACGAACATAACAACTTTTTACAATGAATGATTCGAAAAATAAGTCATCGATATATCATAAATGATTATGATCTTGAATTTATCATAATTGTCTCCAGTTTGAACAAACGATAACACCACTATTAATCTCATCACCACTGTTAACTAACAAAAGCGAAAAGTGGTCGCTCTGACAATCAGGCGGTTGTGAGTCTCGAACCCTAGCAGTAAGGATCATTGCGGATATTTGCGTGTTATATTGAGCGTTTTTATTGTTATCTTTATTTATTTAATCTTTTTAAGTTTTGCATTTTATTATTAAAGTATTATCAAGTTTATTGGAATGTGTTCCTGAATACACTGTAACTACCCACAATGCAACACTTTAACTTTTATACTACATAGACAAACTGGAAGGGATATTTTTCGTTTTTATTTCTTCTTATTTGTTCGCTGTACGCAGTTTGGAGGCTTTTTCTAAGTCCATCAAAAAGCTCGGATTAGTATGGAACTTTCATTTTTATGATGTAATTTTTTTGAGATGACCTTTGAACTCAAGTGACATAATGCAAAGTTAATTTTGACCTAGCTTGGTGAACCCCTCGACATGTTTTATGTAAAATATGTATACTCCTAAACCTGATAGATGGATTGGGGAGGGGGGGGGCTACATTCTTCTTCTTCTTCTTCTTCTTTTGCAAGAAACTACGCAGACACGCTGCAAGTACATTTGCCTAGGGAAACAAAATTCTTGGCCTGTCAAATTATGACTTTATTGCCGCACATCATCAGTGTATTAGAGCTAGGTTATAATCGGAACAACCCAAGTATATGAAAAGGAAGCGAGATCTGTATTTTTCTGTATCTTCCTTTCATCCTGAAAAGTATACATGCTTTTATTAATTGTATTGGAATTTCATGATCTGGATGGTGTTATTGTTAAGGCCAGAACTATTTAATCAATTCCTAATTTATTATAAGGACTATTATCCTTGACCGTGATTCGAATATAAAATTATCCAGATATTAAATATATATATATATTATATATTTAGATATTAAATGCATTTTGTTGTGTTGATTAGCTTGCGTTATGAACTAGTTTGGCATTAAGATTCTATTTGGTTAAGCCATGGACTTTCAAGATTATGCTACGCTGTGTTATAAACCTGAGAACTTCAAAATGAACATTGCCATGCTTCCCTTTTATATTATATTTTCAAGAGTAATAGATAAGTGTATATTTTTTCCCACTATCGTGAAGGAAAATAAATCTTGAATATGATTAAATCATAAAACATGTTTAATCTCATTTAAATTCAAAAAAAATTACCAATAAGAAGAATAAGTAACATTTTTCCTCGGCTGTTGCATTGTGGGTAATTATTCAAGAGTTCATTCCAATAAAAATATAATTTGTGTGAGAATTCAAACGTTCATCATTTCCATAAGTATGATGGATGGATTATATTTTGTATACATTTCAATCATCTTTTTATTATTGTTTCATTAGATTACACAGGAAAAGAGCAAAATATTTTTTTCTTGGAATGTGTACATATTTTTCCTCCAATTTTGAAAATACACTTATCGAAGAATCTCGTTCAACATCTTGAATGATTCGTCCCACTGATATCTTCATCTTACGTTGTAGTATAGTAGTTACCATGAATTTCACCCACCATAAATCACGAGAGCATTTAATCACTGACAAACATTCACTTTATATCCAAGGTTAATCCTTGCTGAGATTTATTGTTTCTTTATTGTTATTCACATCTTTTATTACTATTTAATCATTGGAATGGGTTCTCCTTTATGTCTATGGATAAATCATTTTCATAGCCTCGCTGATTTAAAAATGTACAAATGGTATTTATGTCAGCGTTAAGTCGTGACCGGAAATTAGACATCCATCTACCTATACAGTTCGATATCATATTTATCCCCATCATTAATTAAACATAAATTTATAATGTGGTGTGGTTCAAATGGGCCGTCTTGCGGCCTTTTATTTATATTTATGATTAATGTATTTTGATATGTCATTATACATTAAATATGATTTATGTATTTTATAATGTACATAAAGGTATTTTTGAAACAAAAACATGCCTACATAATATAGGAAACCTACTTATATCAAACAAATTTAAGAATGAACGAGGATATATTGAGGAGTCCAATTTTCATAGTACAATCTAAATGAATAGTGAGTGATTATTGATACTGGTTGCATTAGCATTTGCATTAGTTTGACTTCGCTTCTTAAAAGAGAGTTTAACTAGACTCTGCACGCAGGGTAATCGGGGAGGGGTCCAGTGGACAATGATTCATTTTACCCCCCAAAATGGGGTTCACAGAGAAATAAATAGATGGCAGAACACTATTTAATAGTATACAGAATCCTGACTAAAAGTCACTTACCATGCTCACCATAAATTAATCACACCTGGATTGGCTGAACCGAGGATTTCCCATGTTAAAAAGAAGAGAATTTTCAAGTGACCAGACAGTAGTTGAGAGTATACACAATGTGAAATATACAAAATTTAAGGGATGTGTATCTAGACATTATTTGAAAGTATGATTTAACATTGAAATTGTGAAAAAGAAAAATGAACAATCAAAGCTATTTAGCATTGTGTCAACGGAGATTTAGCCCAATCCATTTCAGAAAACTTGAAATTTGAATTAAGATAAATAACTGTGCAAATCAAATTAGTTGTTTTGAATAGAAGAAATTGTCGGACAAAATGGCTAAAATGCAGATCTCCCAAAATCTCATTAAAAACGAGACGTCAACGAGATTTCAAAGCTACTTGGCAAACCCTCCATTCTTGGAAAACGGGCCCAAACGTTAATGGAAAAAGTTAATGGAACGAACATAAATCACTTTAAATCATAGCCCACACCTTTTATCCAAATGGGACATCCTACATAATATTTGAGTGCCCATAATGCTATTGTTTCACACTAACTGCTATTTGACCCATTATTAAATTGTGCTTAAGAGGTTTTAATTTTTTAATGGATACACCATAAGAACTGGCTATTAGGTAAAATAATGGTCATCATTTCTCATAAGAGCCAATACGAATGGTTGATCTAAATTAAAAAACACTGATTCTTAGGAAAGGTAAATGGTCTATGATCTTTATTTTGTATTGACTATTTAACTATTGATGCTGGAGGTAAGTCGAGTTGATGCGTGAGTAAGTGAAGTATGGTGTAATTAGGTCAGCTCCAGTGAGTGCACTGCATGTAACGTTCCAGGTAAAGGTAGACATTTAACATGGATAATATGTACGAAAATTTGTAAGCTAGCTTAGCTTAATACTGAGGAACACAAAATAATGAATTGTTTTATTAATGCACAGTGACAATAGAAGAGTACATGTACGACATTTGTATATTGCATTTACTATAAGTACGCTATTGGTGCAGACTCCCGTTTCACGGGAAACAATGAAATGTGACGTTATCAAAAATATTCTCGCAATTTGACGAACATTCGATGACATCATTATTCCTTCGAAATTCACTGAAGCATGTACATAAAATTATGAAAATGACACATTACATTTTTATTACCTACATTCTATCTAAGGAATGAATCGATGAAAAGGTATTTCAAAACAAACCAAGTAACTTCACTTAAAACATCGATTTAAAATTGAATAAACATGGAAACCAAGCTTAAGACAAATATTCTGAACGATAAAATTGAAAACTTTGTACTAATCTTCCATTTTTGATGAATTTATATTCAAATCCTACAAGATATAATCATTAATAATATCAATAGATAATCATCATATCAAAATGACACGTGCGTCTTTATTTCAAATGAGAATTCATCATGATTGAAAGTTATGATTTGTAGAGAATTTGTTCAGTTAACTTTTGATGCGGGACTCATCAATCGCGCGCTTTTTACGTTTTCTCGCGTATTATAACCTATAGCGCGGAAATGTCTCTATTCTTTAAGACCCAAAGAATACGGTATATGTTCATGAAGAAGTATGGTTTACCCTATCATTTGGTACCACTGTAATGTATGGATCGTGCGCAGGCAAATCAAAAAGCTATCAAATTATTTCAATAAAATATATCCTCGCTAATTCCGATGAAAGGGGACACCAAGTCCCCAGTTTGTGTGTAAAATGACGTCAAAACGGCCTATGCACATTTAGTTCAGACTCTGGTATCATTCATTTTAAAAGGTGAAAAACTAAAATAGAATCTCTAATTTTTTAATACATTATAATCACCTGATGCGCAGCTGAAAAAAATATTTTTTAGGACTCAAAATATTAAAATACTCACACTCGCATGGATTGAAAATGCCCAATTGATTTTAACGGGGATTTTTATCATGGAGGCTTCACTTGGACATTTTTCAATATTTTATAGAATTTACGAAGTTTATATGGCCACCAGGTCATCAAATATACTTTTTTGTAGAACAAACATCTTCTTCATTGTTGACCATAAGAATTTGAGATGATTCATTGCAATTTAAAAGACTTAAATGGCTTAGAACATCACCCTGGACGAAGTGATAAGGTCAAAACAAGTGGCTCTGATTTAGGAAAAAACGATCTTCCTAAAAATAAACATGGCAGAGCAGGGGTGAGTTTATTTCTTTAAATTATACCCTTTCTTGGCCACCTGACATGTTCAAACTCGGTACATTGATCCAAGACATATCCACCTCTCTATATATAATATTGTAACGATTAATACTAAGAAACGAAATGAACACGAATTGAAATAATATATTTTTGTAAATAACCGCAATATTTTTTTTGATTATTTTCGAAAAAATGGTAGATACTCTGTTTCAAATGCATTGATATTTGGCGATATGATAGTTTATGAACCAGGGAATGTCATATCACCATTATTTTTCTAATACAAGAAGTAATTTACGTCCCTGAGACGAGATTAGATTTATTTTCTGGAAAAAACGCGGCTCTGATTCCAACAGAATATATGGAAAATACGTGGAATGGATGTCTAATTAATCACTTGTTTACTTTCAGGTGTGTAGGCTTCCAATGCTACCATTGTGATGGGAAAACAAAACAATTTAATGCAATAATACAACACTTGATTTTAAAACATCCTGAAAATGAAATGAAAATCAGAAAAATTATTAATGTGAATGGAACGATTAAATTGATAACAAAAAATTTCTCAGATGTGATTCCCAGTGAGATCGAAGCCAGTGGCAAAAAAATAGTGATTCAGGATCAGGACTCCATGACAATATCAATAGCCCAGTACTTGGACAGTGATGTTCCCCATGTATCTAAATGCTCAAAATTAGATATTGACAGTAACAATGAAATGAAATGTCGTACAACAATGGATAATAACATTGAAAAAGAAAATGAAATTGAAAATAAAATTGAAAATGAAACCACCAATGAAATCACCAATGAAATGAATGATATAATAAATTTGAAATCTTGTCACAGCAATGAAGCACACAGTTCCACAGATGGCAATGCAACGATACAGATGCTAGATGAAAATATTGAAGATCTAATAAATGAGTTCACCAGTGTGTTACCTGATGTCATTCAACGACTTGCCGACGATGGATCTATACGCACAATACTTAATTTTTTCAATCTGGTTACAATTTTGCCAAATATTCGTGATTCGCGTTCTCTTCACGAATTTGAGAAAAAACTTTTTTTTTCAAAAACTACTTGATGAATACCTTTGCAATTTTTTGCGCATGTTCTGTAATGCTTATGCAAACTGTGGTATCGTTTAATTATAATGATGAACCTCCTTAAATGAGATGTATATTTTTTTATTCTCCCCTACCCCGGCAATTTTCCAATTTCACTAAATCGATTTATATTCCGTTGCTAGGCAAAAACATAGACAGAAATTATAGTTAAGTCAGCAATTATCTATTTTCTTACTAAATCACCAATTGTTATTGGTAGTACTTCTTGAAATATGAATGTTAAAGACAAAAACAACTTGAAAATGTTGATTATTCAAATACGCGTTCCATCGATTTCAGTTCTAGAAAAGCTATTACCTAGATTTTTATTTCATTTGAAAGATAATAGATTATTGTTTTAGGAAAAAATAACATTTTTTGGCACCCCCTAAGTAACGTTGACCTCGATTTGACCTTTGTGGTGGGAAGTTTATTTGGTCTTGCGAATTAGTGTTATAAAAAAGGTTGCAGACATTAGGGTTAATTGTTTCATTGATCACGAATGCGTTTCTTTAAATCAATTTATCAAGCTAGATTCTTTAATCTGTATGTGTCGTATTGCACGGTACACGATGTAATCAGACAATACTAGTATATATCTCAATTTAATTATTCGAAAATGATTAAAAATCTCTCATTGTTATTTGGAAATTGATCGTCTATATCGTTCGAGACATAAGAAAGGTGAGAATGATTTGTGATTTTCCATGGTGATTTTAAATGATGAAAATCATTCGAACATTTTAAGCACATTAAAAGGGGCATCAAGGATTTTAAGCTTGCATATAAAATCGAAACGCCAACCTATACGTATGACCAATCGCCCATACAAATGCATCGCTTAAACATTTCCGTTCACATTTAGGTTATGAAAACATTGCATTCTATTGCCATAAAATGACGTTTAACGAGCATAAAATAGGCGTTTTGATATAGAAGATTTGACACAATTGTTTCATAGTTTTGGCGTAGTGTTGAATTTACACCTTCCTATGCCCCTGTCGTACGTCTAACAAGCTGCATGTATCTTAGACTCTTATTTCATCCAAAGGCCACTTCCACGACTTGATGTAATATAAAGAGATTTTCGACGCTTCATAACGGCGATTGTCATAGGACATGACTGGAAAACGTTAAATTAATGAAACTAAATCAGGTATAGAAAGCCGCGTTTTATCACAAATCACCATCGCAAATCAATAACCGCTTATTTTCCTCAAATGTTCGTCGTCGGGAGTAAAACAATAGGCATCACATCAAATTGAAATAACTGTCGATGCTGTAAATGCACATATGAAAAGAAACATACAATCTCGGTGTGCATGAACGTTTATATGCATCATTGATCATCAATGAAAGATATTTTGACAATATAAAATCGTAATTTTTAGCGGGAGATATAATTCTCAACATTAATTTACACTCCAGCCACTAATGCGCGTTCCATTCAATTTAAAACACACGAACTGAGTAGTTTAAGATGTACCACTTGAACATAATACAAAATTGTATATGATTCTCCTCTTTGTCCACAAGAATTTAACCTTACAAAAATTGGGGTACAAAAATTATTAATTTTTAGGAAGATCGTTTTTTCCTAAATCAGAGCCACTTGTTTTGACCTTATCACTTCGTCCAGGGTGAACATATCTACCGTGGTAAAAAATAACGTAATTTTGACGAGGCTTCACTCCTAATATTCGTACAAAATCCATCTTGGCTGATACGTTTACATCTGAATCACTGATAAGTATAGTTTTAGTATGTTCGTGAAACTTTTCCAGATCTAACAATATAACAAATGTATGACAAACTGCTATATAACTCACAAAATCTACATTTAAGTACCATACGCAGGCTGAATAAGTCAGAGTTGAACACGAGTCACTCACAATTACGATTGCGACAATAGCTATTGTGACGTCATACGCTGTTCGTTATTTGTAAATATTTATGCATAGAATTGATGATCCATGAAATAGGGTATTATCCTGAAAATATCATAAACATTGATGGAACAGTTAAAAAGATATATACTTTTACATGCTACATGGCCATTTCGTTTCGTTCCTTCTTGAAACGTTGAACACGCCTTTTAGGGTGTTTTTATTCAACTAGGAGCTATTTCGAAGGGCTGTGAATTGAATAACCATAGAGGATATTTCATAAAATTCAGTTCGAATAATTGCATTATATAATAGCAAGAAGGATATATAAAAATTATTATAAATTATGTCGAAATACATGTTAAACGAAGACCGAGATCTTTATAGACGTCTTAATTATATTGGCGATTTCAAATGTGTACCAATAGCGTACTTATAGTAATTAAGGTCTGGAGGTAGTTAACAGGAAGTGACAAAACGGGAAGTCACAAAACTAAAATAACTGAGTTCTGTTTTGACCTTCAGTCGGTTTTGCTAGTTCCACATATCATTTACATCACCAGGATCACACTGGTCATGGTCAGAATGACTCTAAACATGAAATGTTCAAAACTGAAAACAATTTTGAACAAAATACTCGGAGCAAATGTGACTCAGAATAAATGGGGTTTAAGGTCAGGGTGCATAGTTCGGAATTTTGCTGAAACCCTCAAATGAGTCACATGTTTTTTTCAAAGAATCACTTCTTCCCCACGATGTCTACACCTCTAAATTTTGCACAATGTGTATACTAATGTACCTAGAAAAGAATGTGAAGAAGAATGTTTTGATAAAATGTATAAAAAAGAAAATTCAGTGAAAAAATTACTGAATTTTCTCGTTTTTCATACATTTTACAAAACAAATCTTCTCACCAGTCTTTTCTATGCACATACGTGCACTCTTTGTGCAAAACTGGAAGATGTAGACAATGTGGGGAAGGATTCCTGTTTGAAAATTAACATGTGACTCAATTGAGGAATGCAGAAAAATTCCGAACATGCAACCTGGCCTTAATTCCGATTATGTATGATAAAAGGAGACTTGTTAATGAATTATATATACGCCAATCTGGGACGTATTGCATCTTTTATACATCACCCGTTTTATAGTTTTTGAGTAAAATGCCATAATCCGATAATGGAGTGTATCGAAGAGAAGATTCAGCTTAGAATAAAACAATGTTGACATTTGTTTAAATGGGATACTTGTGATATTAAATTGATAACATGATAATAAAAATACACTCCAAACATACACTCCATACACTCCATAAGTTTGGCAACCTTAGCTCCCCAATTGAACTACGTGTTAAAGCCTCTTTACGTTTCAATTTTTATTTACTTAACCGGCGATGAAATAACTTATAATATTGATGGAAACGTAACTTGACTTTATTTCCAATACCTCCGAATTTTCTAAATTTTTTCCTCAATTACAGTAGGTCGAAAATTGATAATAAAGATGAATTTTTCGATATCATAAGCCCATATTATAAGGAAAACTGCATTAACGTATGAATCAATGTAATTTCTTAACACGCATTTCCTGACAATTTAGTGAAGAATGTCTAGTTAAGAATGCCAATTTGCAGAGTTTATTAAATTAACATTAAGGTTAAATTAACCTTGACAGGGTATCGAACCCAGGCAACTGTGTCAAGCAGCTCACTCGCTGAGTAGTCTAGCTCCAAGCCCTTGTTACTCTGCTACTACAACAATTAAGGAGGTGTGCAGTCAAGGTGATGGGGGGGGGGGGTCACAGTGATATGTAGCTAGACTAATCGCTGTCTGTCGCTGAGCTATAGGGATAAACGTATTTTTCAAAACACCTGTTCAAAAGATCTGTCTAATGAGTATATTTTAAATATATAGTACCCCACAGGAAATTACAAAGTGTCACTAAATTTTGAAATTTGAAACACTTCTTCTCTGTAGTATTCCTAATACTTGTACTCAACAATTTTTGTTTTTCTTTAAACCTTTTATTTTAGAAAATACATTTATTTAGAGAAATATGTGCGTTTTTTAATTTACTGCAAAAAATAATACAAAATCATAACATTTTTGGAACTTTTCATTCACATCATCTAAACTTAATTCATTCATATTATCCAGGCATGGGTTTAAATAAAGGCTTTGAGAGTCCCCTTTTCATTTATAACAATTCTATATTTAGCATTTTAGCATATATTTTTGAATGTCGTTGAGTTTGAGTCAAGGTCTACTATTTATTGGGATTGCCGTTCAGGAAATTGAAAAACTATCTATTATCCCGACGGGCTCTGTGCTGGGCAACATCATTCTTTAATACCCTATTTACAAAATCAGTCCCCGCTGCATGTTCGTCAAAAAATTACCAAATGCTTCTGAAGTCTCTAATTCGCTGCAAGACATCATTTTAGTGCTTGAAGACACTCTTCAAATGACGACGAACCAACAATTATGCGACCATACTCGTCCCTGGGTGAGTCAAGGGGATGCGACCTGCATACACTCTGCCGGATGGCCTTAGTGAGCAACTCTCTGTTCTGTAAAGTATGCAATTGTAGAGTTGAAAGACTCTGAAGCAAATCCTTCTATACCCTACATACTTTTTAGAACTGTATTCCTGCATGTACTGTGTAACATATATTACCTACAATTTGCTGCGATTTTGCTACATTTTTGCAAAAAATCGAAAATCAGTACAAAAACTCTTTTGGTCGCCATAACCTCTAGATGTGACATTAAAAAACAAAATAAATTGAGTGTTAGAAAAAGTCCAAAGAACGTGTGGTCCAAATTTCATGAAAGAAGTGTAAACATTAGTGACACTAGCTAATTTTGAAGTTCGCGACAAAATTTCCTATGGGGTACTTTATATCTTATATATCTCATACCAGTGATAGATGATTCAATTTTCGAAAAGTTGATACATCATCCCATCCACAATATGTTGATAAAAACGATCGCTCATCATTTCAGAATTTTAAAAAACATTCCAGGATTCTTTACCTAGTCTAAAGAACATGGCCTTTTTAATTTACCAGAACATTTCTAGAAAAATCCAGGGTATATCTCTGATATCTGATAATCATTCAGCAAAATTGTTCTAATGCGAACCCCGAAATCAGAAAAATCTATCTTCTGATCTTAAAAGACTTAAAATGTCAATAACATCTCAAACGATCTAAATGACTTTTAAAGCCTATCTTCAATATAACTAAACTGCCTACAAACGAATTTCCTTGATAGTTTAAGCATTATTATTGACTTTACATATTGTATTCAAACAATTCTGTACACAGTATCTTTCAGCTTATGTTCAGTGGGCGAAATTTTTCCTTTGCACAATTATGATAGGTAATTATTTAAGTAATGAGATTAATAAATCTTATTGAACCCAAATTCGTTGGTTTGTTGATTTGT